GTAGCCAGTTCCTTTGATGTATGCATCGAACACCCTCGTTCGAACAGTGTTTGAAGAGGTGTGAACCGAGTAACATCTTTTTCCGTTTTCTTGAAGTCAGGGTGCATTGATCACGCGAAATTCCACCTGAAACAGGTTGCTTCTTTCTTTCCGTCTAGTTTTGGGGTCTCTTTTTACGAAATTGTATCGAATGAAGAATCATGCCAATTGGATCCTATTCTATTTTATCACTACACTAACGAGCAGTGGCGTAGTGGTTAGTGACACTTCCCTTAATTTCATAGAAAATAAACAACTTCTGGAGTTCTGTTTATGGAAATGAACAAACAGGTAGCTAATTTATGGTGTGAGTGTATATATCCGTAAAAAATTATCTTGTGCTGGTTCATCAAGTTTTTCGTATCAGGCTGTGTTTGAGCCTGGAATGTTCCAAGCGTTTGATGAAGAAACGAGTAAGGCGTCTGTTCTAGAGGGTGGGTGTACTCCAAACTCTTGCAAAACAAGGATCCATGGGCGGTCACCCCGGACACCCTCCGATGCTAAAGTTAGAGAGAGAAGAGAAAATTTTGTGTTTATGTTTAGAGAGAGACAGAGAGTAGTTGAGTTACCATCAATGCAGATATGAATGTATTTATAGTTAGTTAGGTCGAGTATGAGACATTATATGCTATGTCAGGCGCCCTAGATACGCCTTGCTTTATCTGGACCACCCGCCGTGAGCAATTAATGCTCAGTCTTGCAGTATTCGAGGTGAGTATCCCAGGAAGATCTACTTTTCCTGCCACCAACGGTACTTTGTGTCGGGCGGCCTACTCCTTGTCCCATCATAGCGTGGCCGCCTGCCGTTCTCTGTTCCCTATGTCCCTTCTCTGGGCCTCGTTCGAGCCCTTCCTTCGGGCCTTACCTGGTTTGCTCCTCATGGGCCCTAAGCCCAACACTGCTCAACTATGGGCCCAACAATTGCCCTTAAGTCGTGAAAAGCAGCGGGTTTTGGCGGCTACTAATTTTGCCGATGATAGTTGAGCGGTCTTTGTTGTATTCGCTACCTACACCTTGCCCCTGGCCGCCCAAGAAATGGAGATTTTCCACCTATTGCTCGATAATCTTTCATAACGGGAACCACCTAATGCACACCTGCTTTTTCCAGTCGCCTCACGATGCGTCTTCTCTCTACCGCCCTTGCTGTTGTTCTTTCCTAGCTTCAGTAAGCGCGACCGGTTGCGCTGTCCACCCCTCTTTTGACACGCGCACCATATAGTGCGTTCCGCCATTACAATTCATAAGTTGTTCCTCTCCTGGCCGCACATTGTGATTTTCGAGTGCTTGCACTGTCCACCCCTTTTTAGTTCGCGAGCGACCCAACGCGGCTCGTTTTCATAGACCGACTTTGCATTTTTGTGTTTACACTGTGCGCTTCCGCTACTACCGTCAACCTGCCTGCGCTTAATGCGATTCGCCTTGGATTGCCTTTGCCGATTCAACTTCTGTGACTTGTCATACTGCTTGCATGTCCTGCCACGTGTCGGTTCTTGGGAGTTGGACTCTGACATGGGCAGCCCCCACGTCCAATCACCTGCCCATGCTTTTGAATTTCCGAGACTAGGGTTTGTCTCGGTCACTCAATCGTCGCTTCATTGCCCCCCATTCTTCCTATTTATATCCGCTCTTCTCCACTTTCTCCATTCTTCTTCTTCTTCTTCTTCTTCTTCTTCACCATCACTGCTTTCTCTCCTGTTCTTAGCCAAAATTGCGCGTTGCTCTCTATTCTCCCTTTCTTCTTATTTGCGAAACAACTCCTCTTTGTCTCTAGCGCAAGCAGATTTCCTCGCCAAACTTCGACGAGCCCAGAAACGAGCGAAGAGAAGACGAAAGCAATAAATGGCGATCGAGTCTCAAAGCACCACTCACTCCGAAAGCTAGAACCAAAACCTCTCCAGTGACGTCGCCGCCGCACAGCCTCCGGCGATTACCAAACTTCCAGCGCTGGCGTCAGTGTTCCTCACTCCTCCTCTAAGTCCGGCGGCAGCTCAGGTGGACTGCCTTCCGGAGGCAAGCAGGCTATGGCAGGTATTTAGCGTTTCTTCCCATTGTTCTCTTTACGCATTTTTTTAGGTTAGGCTTCCAGAATTAGATTTTGTTGTGCGCAGTCTACGTAGCAAATACTTAAGCGGTCCTTACTGTGACCTTCTAGGATTAGAACCTGATCTTGGGCACGTCTGCTGGTCCGCGGGGGGCGTCTTCAACGGTTGGCGACAACCTTGGGGATTTCAGCTACTCGGAAGCGGAAAGTAAACCGCCAAACGTCGCACCTTTCGTCACCCTCTCATCAGACAGTGGGTTTGGCTACCGCCCAGAGGCAGATGAGAGGGAGCTATCACCATCTATAGCAGTATCTGACGCATTGCCGGTGGAGGCATTTCAGGTTCTTCACGACACCGCCTACCATGTCAGATTACACGAGGACATGTGGGAAGGGGAAGTGGTTCCCTCGAGTGCTTACAAGCAGGGGCCGCCAAATGAGGCCGCATACAAGCCTCAACAGGTTCTCCGTCAGTTGAGGACGCATGGTCTTCCTGTTGATTGGGACTACGCAACTCCTTCTCCCGTTGGGCTAGGAGTGGGCATTCGGTCGGTTCGGTTCGACTGAACCGAAATTATGAATATCGGGTCCCCGAATTCTCTCAAACCTCAAACCGAATTATAATTCGGTTCAGTTTTTCTCTCAAAACCGAATTTGTGAAGCTACTTGTATTTTCTCACTTTTAAATTATTTTTCACCCCTAATATAAACAATAAATATCAATTATATGCATCATCAATGATAAAATCAAACTTTTCAACACATAAGTCATAAAACATTTCAAATATTTAAGTCTAAAAACAACTACAAACATAAAAATCCACCATTTGGAGCTTGCAATTATAGTATTTCGGTTTTTCGGTCGGAAATTCGGTTCGGTTGAAAGAACCCTGGTTTCCGAACTATCCATATTTTCCTTCCGAATTCCGAACCGAATAACATTAATTCGGTTTCGGTTCGGTTTAATTCGGTTTCGGTTCGGGATTACCGAACCGTTTACCCACCCCTACGTTGGCCGGTCTGGGTCGTGCCTGGGGGGTTGGATTCCTATCCATGTGGAGCATATTCGGATGGGGTTGACTTTGGCGCTCGACCCCATTCTTACATGAACGCTCCTTTTTCTGAACTGTACATTAGGTCGCTTGTCACCCGGTGTTATTTTCCATTCCATCGCCTTCAAGGCCGCCTGCGAGAAAATCGGTGAGACACCATATTTTGATGCGTTTCGTCAGTTGCATAAAATGAGGGGCTCTGACAATTGTTGGTCTTGCTACCGCCGAGAGACACGGGTTGGCTTCGTGAGCGGGGCACCGAAGTTAGATTCTCCCTGGTGCAAAGAGTACTTCTTTGCCCGTCCCAAGGGTAAATGGTATTCTTGGGAAGTTGAGCCGCCAACAGGATTCGCGGTTGGAATTATGAATGCTGTTCAGATTTGCCTCCATCCCAAGGGCGATGATAATGCCCTGGAGATTATTCGACGCTTTCACGGTTAGTTATTTTCCCCTTGTGTTGGATGTGTGTCTCATGCCCTTTACTTATGTATTTATTCCATAGGTACTCGCCGCTACGATTCTTCTTCTCGACCGCCAAAGCCAGGAAATAATGCCCCTACTTCTCCTCTTCCTGCCAATGCCGCTCGTCAAGCGGTTCCTGCTGCACAGGCTGCTTCGCCCTCCCAGAAACAGCTGGTGACCAGCCGCACGAGAGTGATGAAGCTGTCAGAGCCTGCCCTTACAAGGAGCTCCTCAAAACGGCCACTGGACATAACGACCTCGAAAGTTCTGAGGTCGACCGCTGGCGAGGCTCGGTAAAAGGGTCTCCTTGTTGAGAAACCGACCACCCCTATCGACCCCTACATCGCGTCCAAGAAGCAAAAGAGGACCTCCATTGACACCTCCGTTTCCTTCTCCTCCCAAGCTTCCCTGTATCCCGTGGCTTCCAAGCGCGCCATGCACGTGATCGCCGAGGGGCTGGCGGTCCCTGATGACTACACCCACGTTGCGGGAACTCTCGTCTTATCATCAGACACAAAGCACCTGGCGGTTGTGAATTCCCGATTCTTCTTTGCGGTATGCGCTTGTGCCCTTGTCTTTATCTCCTTTTCAGCTTTTCACTTTGCTAACTTCTGTCTTTCGCATATCCAATTCGGGTTGAACCAGATGATGCTGCACAACGACCACCTGTAGAGTGATCTGGATGATATCAACATCAAGGCCCTTAAGCTGGAGGATCAACTCAAGGAGGGCCGCGAAGGGGCAAAGGAGGAGGTGCGGGAGGAGGTCTTGAAGGAGCAGGAGCTGCTTATGGAAGACAAGGACGCTCAGATAGAGTCAGGGAAAGAGTTGCTGAGGAAAGCCGAAGAGGACGTCGAGCGTCTGCGGGCTGAACTCAACGACTCAATAGCCTGGGAGAGCTCCTTGCAAGCGGATTTGGGCAAGGTCAGGACTGAAAAGTCCGAGATGCAGGACGCTCGAGAGGCTGACTTGCTGAAAGCCGCCGAAGAGGCGATGGCGGCGTTCTGGACTTCAGATGAGTACAGGGTCGCCGGCGACGCGAAGTACAAGAAGCTGCTCCGCGATACCGTGGCTGCCATTCGCCACTGGTTTTGCCGTGAGTATCCTGAGGTCGCGTGGGACACCATCGCGATATGGGATGCGGTCGAGTTCTGGGGTGATGATGATGTCAACTCCGAATATGTTGCCAATCCCGAGGCGCTTGCCAATACAGCTGCTAGTACTTTCGCTACGACCGCTGAAGCTGAAGGGGATGGTCAGCATGCTGAAGTTGAAGGGGATGGCCAGCAGGGTTAATTTGAACCGCCTCATGGATTTACCGCTTTACTTTTGTTTCCTTTTCTTTTACCTTTTTGCAAACTAAATATGCTCGGGCAGTGAATATTCTTGGGCGTCTCTTGTGGACGCTCTTTGTGAAATGTTTATTTCTTTTTTTTTTATCTTCATGCATGGCTAAATTTTGCCTATCTTTCGTAAGCGGACGATGCGTTATATATATGGTGGTTACATATTTCGATTACCACGCTTAGGAACGGTTGATAACCTTGTGCAGGCTCTGAGGCGGTTTTGACTCGTGGCCGCTTTATATCGACCACGACGCTTAGAAATGTCACGCTCTGAGGCGGTTTCGACTTGTGGCAGTTGGGTATTTTGATTGCAATGCTTAGGAGCGGTTGACAATTTGGCACTTTGCTTTGAAGCGTTACGCTCCGAGGCGGTTAAATTATGTTCTAGGTTAGATTTCAGATTCATCGCTCCGTGGCGGTTTTTAGATTGTTTGAAAAAATTTTGGTCTCCAACCCTTGGGAGAGGTGAGAAAATGAACGCTCAGCGGCGTTGTTCATAATTTGAAATTAAGGGCCACCACTTCTGGTGGTGGTGGCTTTACATGGGATTTCTCCCCAAAAGTAGCCGTTTGCTGTCAATACACGCCTATCATTCAAAAGACTTGGTAGTCAGCGGCCTCCTCCTTTGGATCACTCTCCGAAATACTTCTTCAGGTGAATGGCACTCCAGGTCTTCGCCATTGGCTTTCCCTCCATTGTGGCAAGTATATATGTTGTTGGTCCCAACTTTTCTCCAACGAGGTATGGTCCCTCCCATGCGGCCGCCAACTTTTCATGCCCTTCCTTCTGCTCAAAGTTCCTTTTTAGAACCATGTCACCCTCCTCCAGTGGCCTGGGTTTCACCTTGGCGTTGTACGCCTTTGCTGTCTTCAGCTGCCCTTCCAGGGTTCTGACTAGCGCAACGTCCCTCCTTGTTTCAATCATGTCCAACTGGTGGAGAAGGTTCATGTGATTATCTTCTGAGTCATAGGCTTGGACGCGGAGTGATGGCAGGACCAATTCGGTTGGTGCGACCGCTTTCGGACCATATGTCAGAGCAAATGGCGTCTCTCAGGTGGCTTGCTTGTAGTTTGTGCGGTGCGCCCATAAGACATGGGGGAGCTCTGCGATCCATCCTCCCTTTGCTTCTTCAACCTTCTTTTCAGACCTCGCAAGATTAGCTTATTGGATGACTCCACTTGCCTATTGGCTTGTGGAAATGCCACGACGCCATCTTGCAGGTGATGCGGTTGCGGGCACAGTAGTTCTCAAATGGTCTGCAATCAAACTGTGTTCCATGATCAGTTATGATAGTATGAGGTGTTCCAAACCTAATCATTATGTTGTTGAATAAAAACTTCTGGATTTTGGCACTGGTGATTGTTTCCACGGTTCTGCCTCAATCCACTTTGTGAAGTAGTCGACCACGACCACTAAGTACTTCTTTCCTAAAGGAGCTGTGGGAAACGGTCTCAGGAGGTCTAGGCCCCATTGTGCAAATGGCCATGGCCCTGTGATGTCCTTTAGTTTCTCACTTGGCAAATGTTGCTTGCTAGCATGGATCTAACACCCGTGACATTTCTGAAACGCCTTCATTGCATCCTTCTTTACTGTTGGCCAGTAGTACCCCTGAAGCAGCACTGTCCTTTCAAGGCTTCGCGGTCCCAAGTGTGTCGCGCATGTGCCTTGATGGATTTCCTTCACCACCCACTTTGCTTCTTCTGGACCAATACACTTTAGATATGCTCCTAATAAAGACCTTTTACACAGCTGCCCCTCTACCACGGTGTAGTGAGCTGCCTTTCTTCTTAGTGCCTTGGCCAAAATTGCATCTTCTGGGATGACATCATTTTGTAGGTATTCAACCAGAGGAGACCGCCAGTCGCGAGGGCTTCTTCCTTCACCTCATAGCTTTTCAACACTTGGTTTACTACCGGCAATGAGTCAGAGTAGATGTGTAAGTGAGAGGCTCCCATGTTGACGGCAATCTTCAGCCCACTGAGGAGCGCCTCATACTCTGCTACATTGTTGGTCTTCAATTCGAGGAATCTGTGGGAGATTTTGTGTACCACCCCAGTTGGCGTTTCAATGACAATTCCAGCTCCCTCTCCTCCTATGTCGGTCGCCCCGTCGACGAAAAGACGCCAAACTTATGCTTCCTCCCCTCTCGTGCTTCCCAGAGTGAATCCTTCGGCGATGAAGTCTGCTAGCACCTGCCCTTTGATTGAAGGTCGCGGAGCGTACGCGACGTCGTACTCGCTGAGTTCGACCGCCCACTTGGTCATTCTACTAGACACATCCATCCCTTTCCGGATCTTCCTTAGTGGGAGGTTTGAGAGGACGATTACTTGGTGCTCTTGAAAATAAGGACGTAGCTTCCTCGCCGCAGACACAGCTGCCAAGACCGCTCTCTCGATGGGCATGTAGCGCCTCTCCGCATGGAGGAGCGCCTTGCTTACGTAGTAGACGGGATGATCTGAGCCATCCCCATCTCTTCGTACCAACACTGAGATGACCGCTTGATCAGAAACCACCAAGTAAATGTACACCTTGTCGCGGGGCGCTCAACACGGGAGGTGACGTCAGCTGTTCTGTTAATTGGAAAAATGCTTTGTCACACTCCGCGCTCCACTGGGAACGGGATGCCGATTTTTTAACATCTGGAAGAAGGGGGAGCATTTGTCTGCTGCCCTTGGAATGAAACGGCTTAGGGCGGCCATTTTTGCATTGGAAGCTTGAATTTCCTTGACAGTTTGGGGCGGTCTCAGGGTTATTATGGCTTCAATCTGCTTTGGATTTGCTTCTATTACTCTGCTGGTGATCATTAATCCCAGGAATTTTCCTGCCTTTGCACCAAACACGCATTTGAGCGAGCTTAGCCGCAGGCGCTCCTTTCTCAGGCTCTCGAATGTTTCCCATAGGTCCTACAAGTGGTCTTCCTCCCTTTTGCTCTTTACTAAGACATCATCAACGTACGCTTCCACGTTTCTTCCCAGCTGGCTCTTGAAGACCGCATCTATCATTCTTTGATATGTTGCCCCTGCATTCTTTAGACCGAAAGGCATAACAGTGTAGTAGAAATTTCCCATGTGGGTCATGAAAGTGGTTTTCTCTTGATCCTCCTCAGATAGGCGGATCTGTTGGTATCCCGAGAACATGTCTAGGAAGCTTAGACTTTCATGATTGGCGGTTGCATCTATGAGCTGATCGATTCTTGGCAAAGGGTATGCGTCCTTTGGGCAGGCCGCATTGAGATTTGTGAAGTCTATGCACATTCACCATAGTCCGGATGCCTTGCGGATGAAGACGGGGTTTGACAGCCAAGTTGGATAATTGACTTCCCTTATGAACCCAGCCTTGAGGAACCGCCTTACTTCCTCCTCCAATGCAATTGCTTTTCGAGGGAAGATTTCCTCCTCCTCTCCTGAATGGGCTTCGACTTGCTTTTCACCGACAAGTGATGTTCGGCAAGCTCCCTCGAGACGCCCGACATGTCCTCTGTGGTCCATGCGAATAAATCTTTGTACTCTTTGAGAAGCGCCAGGAGCTCTCGCGCTTTTTCCTCTGTTAGGTGGGAAGAGATTCTCAACTTTTCCCCCGGTTCCTCGTCGTCGAGTACCACCTCCACATCTTCTTCGACCGCCTCTAGGAGGGGATTCCCCCCTCGGGTGTCCACTAGGTCCACCTCTAAGCTTTCTATCGTCGCCTGGTAACACTCCCTTGCTTGTTCATTGTTTCCTCTAACCTGCCCTACTCTTCCACCTGATGGGAATTTAAGCATCCGGTGGCATGTGGACGGGACTGCGGAGAACAAAGATAGAAAATCGCGTCCTAGAATTGCGTTGTATGCAGACGGGCAGTCCGCCACGTGGAAGTCCATGGATCGGGTTTTTGTTACGTCTGCTTCTCCAATTGTCACCTGTAAGGTGATTAAACCCAGTACTCCAATCTTCGATCCCGGGAACCCTACCAGGCTTGTCGCCGACGGCTTGAGGTCTTGCATGCTCATTTTCATACTTTTGAGGGTGGAGTAGAACAGTATGTCCGTTGAGCTTCCGTTATCGACTAACGTCCTTGTGATTTTGAACTTCCTTGTTCTTAGGGAGATGACCAGCGGATCTTCTCCACTCTCGTCGGGCGCTAGCTCAGAGGGCGAAAAGCTGATGTCTACTTGTTCACTCCTATGAAAGTTCAAGCACTGGATTAGGCATTCTCCCTCACTCCTTGGCCGCTTGAGATCGCCCGCTATGGTGATGACCTCCACGTCATCGTCATTGAGCCGAGGATGCCGCTGGGGAGGTGATCTCCTTGGCGGTGGTGGTGGGCGATCACGTCGTGGGGATCGCTCTCTTCTCTGTGACCTTGATCTTCTACACTTAGGCGTACGAGACCTCCTCCTTAGGCTTGATGATCTTTCTCTATGGTGCCTCTGCTCTTGGCGATGTGGCCGTGTATCTAAGCGGCTCTTAAGATCTCCGGGGGCCAAGTACTTCAAGCTGGACTTGAATTCCCGACACTCTGTGGTGTCGTGGGTGGGCATTTGGTTCCAGTCGCACCACTTTCGATCCTCCTCCCTCCTATGAGTTTGATGCGCACTACTGTTGTCGCTTCCCCTTTCCATGCCTTCTTCTTTGCTAGTGGTGAAAACTTCCCGCCGGCTGTCTCGGTGAGTAAACCGCAGTTTGTAGCTGCGCCTTTATGGAGAACGTCCTCTTCTTTTGGGCGATCCTCCCTTCTTCTTATCTGACTTCTCTCTTGGGTTGACACGCTTAGCAGCGTACTCCATGATCATGGCTTCCTCCAACAGGATCGCTTTTCTCACTAAGCGGTCTAGGTCGGGCCACTCTTTCAGGGTGTGTTCCTTCTTGATGAGCGCCCTCCAAAGCTCACAACTATGCGTTGACATGCGCAGGTTACCTGCTGCCACGCTTGGCGAGATTCCTTGTACCTCGCATGTTATGGTGTTCCACCGATCATAGAAGTCCGTCAGTGATTCTTCCCCTCCCTGTTTGCAGTTGATGAGTGCTGACACGGTCAGCTTCCTTCTTCGCTGGGATGCAAATTTTGAGGAGAAGAGGGTGGCGAACTGCTCGAAGTTTTCAATTATCCCCTCAGGCAGAGAAGTACACCAAGTTCGGCAATGGCCGCTAAACGTGACCGGGAACGCCTTGCACAGATCAACGTCTGTGGCGTTGATGAGCTGCATGGTCAGCATGAAGGCGCTCAGATGGTCGGCGGGATCGGAACTTCCATTGTAGGTCGGCAGTCCAAGCGATGAGAAGTTCGAAGGAACCTGAGTTTTAAACAAGCTTTTGGCTAGTGGGTTTTGGAGTATGTTGTGACCTTTTACCCTTCCGTATGAGGGCTTAAGATGCTCCTCCAAAAATCCCAATCTGAGATCTTCTGTGCCTTCTTCTTTGTCGGACTCCCCGCCTTCTGTCCGAGCAGGGCTGTCGGGATCTTCCCTTCCTTTTCTCTCGCTGCTCATTTTCCTGAGCTCTCCGGCGCTTCACTTCCTTTCTCTTTGAGCATGGTCAAGATCTGGCTTAAACTTTCTTGCATGCTTGATATTTGGTGTCCTTGACTCCTGACACAGTCCTCCATTTCCACATTTTCTTCAACCGTTGGCATTTCCATTCCGCGGATATCGACTCTCTGTGTCTCTTGACCGCGTGGTTCGCTTCTTTCTACTACTCCTAACGTGGTTCGCTCCCATCCATCCTTTCTTCAGTGCCTTACTCGCCCCACGGTGGGCGCCAAATTGTTTGAGATTGGAATGTTCCAGGCGTTTGATGAAGAACGAACAAGGCGTTTGTTCCAGAGGGTGGGTGTACTCCAAGCTCCTGCAAAACAAGGGTCCGTGGGCAGTCACCCCGGACAACCTCCGATGCTAAAGTTAGAGAGAGAAGAGACAGATTTGTGTTTATGTTTAGAGAGAGAGAGAGAGAGAGAGAGTAGTTGAGTTACCATCAATGCATATATGAATGTATTTATAGTCAGTTAGGTCGAGTATGAGGAATTAAATGTTGTGTCAGGCGCCCTAGATACGCCTTGCTTTATCTGGACCGCCCGCCGTGAGCAATTAATGCTCAGTCTTGCAGTATTGGATGTGAGTATCCAAGGAAGATCTACTTTTCCTGCCACCAATGATACTTTGTGTAGGGCGGCCTACTCCCTATCCCATCGTAGCGTGGCCGCCTGCCGTTCTCCG